AAAGGAAAGGAAAGGAAAGGAAAGGAAAGGAAAGGAAAGGAAAGGAAAGGAAAGGAAAGGAAAGGAAAGGAAAGGAAAGGAAAGGAAAGGAAAGGGAAAGGGAAAGGGAAAGTATGTGGTAGCAAAGTAGGGAAGCAAGTATTTTAAGAAAAGGGAAAACACAATAGTCCATTTCTCTTTTATGCCATAGGTATATTTCGATGCTGATACCTTGCAAAAGAAAGTAAGCGAAAAACAAGCTTGTGTTTACCTTTGCTGTACACAATGCAGTTGTTTTTGTTGTCTTCTACTCCTTGCCAAGTCACATCCAGCAACCACTTGGGGCCAGCCGTCAGGACCATAGGGACTGCAGCCTTTGTTTTCTGTAGGAAGGATGATAACAAACAGATGCCATTTGCTTGCCTTGATTAAGAACTTGAATAATAATAGTAATAATAATTTTATTTGCAAACAACAAAATCTCCAAACCCACAAGCCAAGGTCTTATTCCCCTGTCTCGGGATTTTTTTAAGAAGACACAAGCAGTAAGCTTTAGTTCTTTCATTGATTTGAATGGTAGAACTATTATCAAGGATTTTTTTTCGGATGATATTGGATCAGATCTCCAAGATTAMGCAGATCTCTGGTGGCTCTGAATTATAAAGGGAATGCAGATGACTTTCACAGCAAAGAGCCAAGTGTTTAGAAGTGAACTTTAGACACATTGTACTTCATTATCAAAAGGATCTCACTATTTCCTGAAACAGACAGGAAAGAATTTAAAGAATCGGTATCCATTTCAAAGATCTGTCCTGGGTAACATTTGTATTATCATTGGAAATTGTTCTGAATGGATAATGTAATTTTTCCCCTTTTGCTAAGTGTTGATGTGTGATTTCACTATAGTTGAAATAATAATAATGCTAATGATGCACTATTCTTTGTGCCCAGAAAGACTGTAAAAGAAGTTGTATGAATAAATTCAAKGCACAGAACTAAAACATGACATCCTTTGCTCTGAGAAACGTACAGAGAAGGAGATGCACATTTAACAAATCTCCTGCATAGATCTGGGATATATTTRGAGAAATTGATATATGAAGTGACAAGGTAGAGGTTTCAAACTTACTTGCGTTTAACTTCTACTAATCAAATGGCCAAAAAAACAGTGTGCAATCCTGACTTTGTCAGTCAGTAAGTGGTACTGAAATGCCGTTTAAATTTCTCTCATTCGTGGWTCTTGCTCCCTATACCAAACACAAAACCACAACAGAGTACGAAGTACAATAGGAAAGTCATGAAGTAACCCTTTTTTATCTGAGATATTATCCTGTCCAAGACATTCCAAGCTTTTGTAARAGAATTTGTTCTACTTTTTCCTATTCGATCTCTGTTCCTGGCTCCTGCAGCAGTCTATTGTGATATTTTACATGATTAAATGAATTCAAAAACACCAAGACATAGAAAACTATATATTCACATGGAGATTTCAGATGATCAGGCTTTATTTATTGCCTAACATTGTTCCATAAATGAAGGTATCATAACACATATTACATTCCTAGAACATACAAGAAGAGATCTACTGGAAAAAAATATTACTTAAAACATTTTATTCATATAATTACATATCAATATTTTGTTAAAGATTCTGGAATAAGATGTTGAACTTCACAAGACTTCATATTTTTTCCATTTTTTTGATCTTTTTATTTCCTAATACTGTTATTGGAAACAGTATATCTTGTTTAATATATATTTTATATTTTTCATTTTTGTATAAATGATTAAATTGTATTTTTTCTATATGAACTCCACTATACCACATTATTCATGTTTCAAAAATATTGGAAAAAACATATAAATTAAAAATTAAATTAGTAAAAATGAATGTGGAAAGTAACAACAATACACCTACTTAATAAATAAATATTAAAACCAAAAAAATTACATGTCTCACTTTTAGATACTGCTTTTTGTACTGGAAAGTACTGCAGAAGTAACAGAAAGTGTGATTATGTGAAGTTTTATATGAGCCATCTCTACGGCATTTTATATGAGCCATCTCTACTGCATGGGTTTGAAATCTGAATTTAAAGCCATGTTCTCCCTGGACAGTTCACATGCCTTTTTTATAAATTGGTCAGTTTCATATATAAATTGTCAAGAAGCCTGTCACTTCCAATCAGCAGATATTATTTACATGTCAACTATAAAGAAAATTGCGATATAAATGAGGCATGAACTGAAAAAGATCAGCATGAGATAAGAGAGAAGATAATCAAAATACCATCTCTGTCTCCTATTAGAGAAAAGTCTGAACTTTTAGTTTCATCTACACCAACATAGCCTAAGGCTACATGAATTCCAACATTAAATTACAAAAGTTACAACCCTTAGCACAATATTAGTAACTGTGTAGACCAAGGCATGTTCCTACCAAATGTTGAATTCTCCAATTGCCATTTCAGTGAACCCATTAATGTGGTTCTTCGTACTCATATAAAAACATGCTCTTAGTCTCTGGTAATCCCAAGTGTAATCAACTGGTAGTGGAATACTATCCAGGCAGTAGATTTTTCCAAGTATGCTATATGTGATTCAAGCACTCAAGGCTTTTCTTTTTTTAAGCAGGATGCCAAGTTAAATGYAAACACACAAATCAAACTAAGTGTTGAAGATGACATCAATCTTATTTTCTACAAGACCTAATTCCTATTTCCGGTTTTCTTCTTCACAGATATCTGACATTTCTCTGTTTCTCTGCCTCCTATAAGAGGCATTAAGGTGGTTATAGTACACTCTCTACATAGACAGAACAAACAAAATGTGAAGGAAGCAAAAAGCAAGATGCAGAGATATCGTGCAATTTTCTGTTGGAGATTAATTCCTCCATTAATAAATTGAAGGCTTAGGCCCATGTTACTGCTCCTGTTATCATGGAAAAAAAGAGGACTGGTGCCTCATGTGTTTTGATGTGGAGTTTCTGCAACACCAGGTAGGCTGAGCACCAGCAGTCATGATGTGAGTCCACACTGCAGCCTCCTGTGCCCAGCTTTGCATGAAACTTAAACTAAATGGAGATCACTAAATTAACTTCCACATCAGTAAAACTTGTAATCAGCTCAGCAGCTGTGAGTGGTTACTAGGTGGTAGTGAGAGACAGGAGGAGAAATGGGGTGTTTCTTTTCACAGCTCTGCTACTCAAAAAGCACTGGTGGACCTCAAAAGAATCTCCCACTCTCCCATAGCTCTGCTTCCCAGCTGCATAGATATGTAAATAAACTTCTTTTAATATGAAAGCAAAACTTCAGAAGGCCCTCCTGCTTGTGAAGCTTGGCAGCTCAACTAAGGGAGATGGGCAATGACTTCTCTTTGAAGTACCTCAGAAGCATATTATATGAGCTGTGAGATGAGTCAGCACGCTTGCCATGGACCACAGCAGCATTTCTTGGGGGTCTGGAGTTTTGTAAGGTTCACACATTCACAGGAGATGTTCACCAGTGCCAAAGACTTGTTCCTGTTGTGGCTTACTGCATAGGAAGAACTGAAGCAAGCTTGCTGATTCCAGAAAGGCCATTTCCCTAAAATGGTTAAAATGAAAAGACCCCAGTCCAAGATAACAAGAAGCTATGGTTAAATCAGTCATGCCTTTATCACCTCCAGATTAGACTACTGCAATGCACTGTACCTGAGGCTACATTTTAAATCCATTTGAAAGCTGAAGCTGGTGCAGAATGCGGCAACCTGCTCAAAAAGCAGAATATTGTGCTTTGAGCGCATTACACCAGTGCTTTCTAATCTGCACTAAGTGTCTCTGGGATTTAAGGTGCTGGTATAACCTGAGAAGTCTGGGACTTGTCTACTTGATACCTATTTGAGGGATACCCAGTCCTTTGTCCTGACCACACAACCACAGCTGAGATCCACCAAGGCACATGAAAAGGGTCCTTCTTGGCTTAACTGCTGGCATTGCAAAATGTTCCTCATGATAGCTCTTTACCTTTAGGATACAAGGTCACTTGAAGTATGGTAATGCTCTGGCACTCAGAGCATCCTAGGAAAATCACCCTATAATTCAGAAGATGTATTTTTTTTTAATGTAACATTTAGTTGGTCATTCTTAAAATTTGGGAGAACTTCTTTATGTTATGGCTTTTTACAGTGTATTGGGAGTATCCCAGCCTAAAGAAAGGTGCCTGTTTATTTTTTATTTAAAATTGTATTTCAAATAATTAAGAAATGTAGTCAGTTATCACTTGATTAGTTTTTAAGATTTTTTTAAAAAATATTTCTTTCTCATGAAACAATACTACAGCTGTTTAAAAATAAGACTTCAAAAAGAAAAATTAAACTTTATTTCTTCCTCCTGAAGAACTGCTGAAAATTACTCAGATGCCTAACAGAGGATTCCACCTACAGCCCAAGTCATATCAATAGAGATCATCTATACTGAGTGTCTGTAACATACAGCAAGACCCTCAAATTTTGGAAATGATAGAATATAAAAAAACTGTAATACAGTTCACTTCTTTACACTAGGTAGATGAGTTTTACCTGAAATGTTATTTCTGTTAAAGTCTTCATATTCCTACATGCCATAACCAGATAAATTTGACAAGGACAAACAGGGTCAAAATCATGATCTCTCAGGGAACAATTAGAATCAGCTAATGAGCATAAAAGAGGTCAAGCAGGCATCCACTTTTCACTAACCTTTGAAGCAACTGGACAAACAAGGGAGGTAACCCTCAATAAATATTTATATTCAGTCAAGAGGTTAATGGAGCTAAAAATAGTAAGCACGAAAATAGCCGAAAATAGTTCTGCACTCTAGCTAAAAGGAATCAGTGCTGACAAGGTAACGTTAAATGGGCTCTTCCCTGCAAAGACTTCTAACATATAATGTGTGTGGCCTGGCAGAAATTTGAGGAAACCCCCACACTGAAGTGAAATATGGCATGAAAATGTTGTTTGAAACCCATGAAATCCTCACGTCAGGAAAGGGATGCTCATCACTGCTAGCTGTTTTCTAAGAAGCTGGGTCAGAGCAAGTAATAGGTACTAAGCTAATGCTCAGAAAGTCACTGTGACATGACTGCACTGTCCCAGGCACATCGTTCCAAAAAGTGGTCAGAGTTATTTAAGGATATGTACTATTGACTGAAAAATCACTACTTTTCTATTTTTTTTCCTTCAATCAGTAAAGGCCTTTCTAATGTCAAAGCTGCCTCCACAAATTGCCCTCACCAACTGAGAGGAAAGTTGCCACAGACGGAAGATACTCAAGGGCCTTGTTTCTAGTTTTCTTCTGGTTCCTCCAAACAGATTTTCACTGTAAATCTTCTAAAGAATCTGATTTTCCATAAGTGATATGGAATAT